TATAATTTTATTTATTTTCCAAAAATGTATGAAAGCCTGCGCTTGGTATTCGACTTCGCTTAAGATGTATTTTGTTTAATTGAAATATACAGCAATATTTTGTATTATATTTTCGCATATACATATATTTAATTTTCTGGATTTTTATTATACATTATATATGGTTTCATTAATTACAACACGCATAGTTTTTAATGTGTGATAAATATGCATGTTATATGGATATTCATATTTTATTTTTGTATTTATTTGTATTTGTATATTTTCAATTTCTTTTTTGGTTATTCAAGAAACTGAAACATTTAACATATCGAAATAAGCCAAAGTTTTGTTAAGTTTTCGTACTCCTGTTATAAATCATGTTGAACGTCATATGTATTTCACACTAATCTAGAAACAATGCTGCATCAAGTTGATAGCTCGGAATTCGATCGAGAGAAATGATACGATGAACGCTTTAAGATATCGGCAAACCATATTTAGCTTTGTGGTGTCCATGTTTAGGTCGGTTTTTTTTCTTTCTTAATATTTGTAGTATCTTTTCAGGGTGTCCAATGCTAAGATGTGCGTATTTACAGCCAGTCCAGAATGTCCGTCGGTACGTCTACGTCTTCAGAGTCAGCTTGCGTTTAACTAGGAACTCAAACCATTTTGTATGCAGTTCGTCGGTCATTTAAGTCTGTCCAGATCGGTCCATGGTTTGTATCTATCTGTGCCAGCTGTACTCGGGCAGCGATCGTTCCTTGCTCTCGATGGAATTCAGCTAACAAATTGATACTAGCTTTGTTGGTATGTATTTTTATCCATACTATAATTATTACATTTATTGGAAGCCTCGCTCTCTGTACTCCAGCGGGAGCTGTGGTTAGAGCTAGACTTCGGGGTCATAATGTACCGTTTTTGTTTTTGCCTAAGCATTGTCAAAATCTTTGTCAATTTTACATTTTTGAGAATAGTTTTTTTTTTTTTAGATCTTTGTATATCTATGTTACACCATCAATGAAAATAGTTTTAAGAAATGATAACTTCTGTGCCTGAACTACGTACGCATACATATCGTATATTGTATGCTTTTATTATGTATATAAACATATATATA